CAAAACTAAATTTCCTTTGTAGAATTGTTTCAGTGCTTTCAATTATTCTTTCATGTTACTTGAGTTTGCAACTAAAGAATATTTTTTATCAGACTTGGTGTGTTGCCCTTAGCAGGCTGCCAGCTACCCACCCAGCTACTTCCTAATGTCAACAGGACAGTGGGGGAAGAAAACAAGATCGGAAATCTCTTGGGTTGAGTGAAAGATGGGGAGATCACTTACCAATTGCCATCAGGTATGAGACAGACTTGACTTGGGGAAAATTAATTGTATGTATTGCCAATTAAAAGTAGAGTTGGATGGCAACAAAACAAATGCAGCAAGTAAAATATCTTCCCCTCACCCCAGCTTTCTCAAGCTCAACTTCACTCCTTCATTCCCCACTTCTCTACCTCTTCCCTGCTGTGAGTAGGCAGGAGGATGGGGAATGGGGTTGTGGTCAGTGTGTAAGTTCTTCTCTGCCGCTTCTTCCTCTTCACACTTTCCCCAGCCTCAGTGTTGAGTCTCCGCTAGGGTGACTTTTCTAGCAGTAAAGTGTGGAAATAATGAGTGGAAGGGGCTGAGAATGTGTTTAGAAGGGAACAGACACACAGCGTACACGCTCGGCAGCCAAGCTGTCCCTCGCGGGACGTTTCCACGGAGTTGTGGAAATCATGTTTTCAAGCTACCATTAATGTGAAAAAATTGCAGACTACATTTTTGTTGTGAAATAGGTAATTTTAACTCCTCATACTTGAACTGAGGAAAGAGTTTGTAGAGTTGCCTGCTGGGTGGATTCTGAAGGATAGAGCCTAGTTCCTGGCGTTTATTGGAAGTGTGTCAGAAGAAAATTGCTTAGAGGGGCACTTTCCCAAAGTTATGGAGAAAACATCTGAAATGCAATATCAAATGTTCAGTCCCAAGTGGACTGTACATGAGAACTTCATTGCTGGAGGGAGGCCAAGGAAATCTGTCCATCTTTTGTTTTAATTAAAATAAAAAATGTACCAAGATGTCATAGCAAATTAAAAGAGGTATAAACATTTTTGAAGACAGTAATGAGTTTTAGAAAGATGTTTTGCTGAAAAGACTAGATGCTAAGTAGAATGCCGTGCTTCTTTGATCTGGAGCTGAAGTCCATGATAATCCAGATATTCAATGGCAACAGGACAGAGGAGATAAAAAAGGCGTTCTGTACAGTCATATGACTCACATACGAGATTGTGAAATCAAGCAGAATCACAAGATTCTTTTAAGGTCAAGAGAACATGGCAACTTGGGATTGGGACAAAATTCATATGCTGAAGGTTATTTCCACATTAAGAAGTCTGCAAACTGCTGCTTTAGGCAGCAGTTAGATGACTTTCTAAGTTAGAATGGGTGAGTTTGGTTTGGTTTTGCTCTTTTTAATGGGATTCTTAGAAATTTTTAAGACATTTTAGGATTAGAGATATTGGTAGAGTGTGATAAATACAAATCTCTCAATTTACATGAATGTCAGAAAAAAACCTGTATAATTAGGAGCCATGCTGTTCTGAGTAACAGCTTTTTTCACATTATTCCCATTTGTTGTTCCCATCCTCCAGGTATTGCCAAGACTAGTTTATATTTAATGAACTGTTACTAGAGAAAAGAAGTAAATTGAGGCTTTTCTATGTGTACTTGCATTTACCATCTTCACTGGGCTGTTTCCTGCTTGGTTTGAAAAATGTTTAGTACTAGTATGTTATGCCACCAGTCAGATTAGTATTCTGGCACTGAAGGGCCACATAGTTCCTAAAATGCATTCAACCTGTACATATAGAGCAGAATTTAGTAATTTGGTAGAATAGTTATGCATTTTGAGGTTTACTGCATTCTTTTATTATATCTGTGGCAGGTTTTGAGTGTAATTACTCAGTTTTTCTGTTTATTTTGGGGGAAAAAATACCCTTCTTCATACTGAAATATATTTTTCCATAATTTCTCTTTCTTTTTTTTTTTTTTTTAAATGAGCAGTAGGCTCATTAAATAAGCAGTTCCTTTTCCTTATTTTTCTCCTACTTGCTTTGCTATGAGTGCTGTGTCTATCCCTGTTTGCCTCTATAAAGAGCCATTTGGCACTGAGCAGACTTGCTTGTCTGAAAGGTATGTTCTGTCTGTCCCTCGCTATTTGGCTTGATGCAAGAATTAATGGAGGGACTTATTTTGTGCAAATGGTTGGAATAGAGAATCTTTGAGTTTTCTCCTTATCTTGGTTTAAGTAAAACAACCTTGCTCTGAAATAATGTGTCACTCAAAGTATGACCGACTTTCGTGGTTGTATGAAACTTAAGAGGTCTTGGGCAAAGTGTAAGGCTATGTGTGCCTGCTGCTGGGTTAGAGGTCTGTGGGCATCTTAGGAGAAGTCTGATACTCCTAAAAGATCAGTTAGCTCTGGAGAACTGTAGCCCTTCTTTGTCAGGATTGTGTGGATTTTGAAAGGTCTAAAGGAGCCCACACATGTGCTATGGCAGGGACTATTTCGCAATTGTGCCTCAGGAGATACGCGATGATTTTGTGAATCGTTTTGTTGAAATTTTGCTTGTGTAAGCCCTGTGTGTCCCCCTTTCCTCCCCATCCCCCAATTTAGGATAATTTGATTTATTTAAATAATTTTAGTGTGGAGGTTATTTGTTTTGTTTTTACATGTGGGAGACCCAGAATTTTGTGTGGGTATCATATTCCCTTATCTCAATGGTTTATGAATGTAGTCCCTGCATCAGCAAAATAATGTAGGCAAGAGATAACTATGGAGAGGTTAGCAGGTTAAAGAATTTCTGCTTTAAAAGCCTCAACATTTGTAATCTAAATCAGGACTTTTGTATTTTCTTGTTAAGCTTTCCCCAGCAGTAAAGGTGTTGTTTAAAAAAAAAAAAAAGAGATAAAATCTTTGCAGTACAAATAAATGGCAACGAATTCGTTCAAGTACAAAATGTAATGCAAAAAATGGAGGGAGACTTCACTTTTTAATAGCACGACAAGATACTGTGCAAAAGTCAATGTTAAAGAGATGGCATCTTTTAAAAGAAAGCTTTGTGATTCTGAAGTGAATTTCCTTTCCTTCCACCTTTTTTTTTTTTGACTTTCCCCTGAAAATCTGTTCTAGTCTTACAGCCTAACAGGTAGATCTGGTGCTATCCTGGTGGTATTTCTCAAAAAAACAGCTGTAAAACTTCACAGCAGAATTTGCACTGAAAATCGTTGGCATGAGGTACTAGCTTATAAACACTTCTGAAAACTGCACCCTGTGGGCTTGAAAACTCTCTTGATTTGTCACCGCTCTTATGCTGATCTACTGGCATTTACTTTTAATTCTAAATGAAGAATTTGTCCCTGAATTGTATGGAAGAATGTGATTCCTGGATGAGCAGTTCCGTTAATCACTGTGGTGTAGGAGTGAGAAGAGATTGTAGCAGAAAATAGGCACTACTGTTGTTAGGGTTTCTTGTTGGCAGTGGTGGTAAATGGGAATCTTAACATGGAGACTTGTGGACATAGTCTGAGCTTGACTAGAATGAGAGATTTGCTATTATTTTAGCAGTGCAAGATTAAATTCCCTAGATTCTGTTGAGATTTTGGGAAAGGGAGAAGACAGGGGAGAAACTTTGAATATACTCGTCAGGCACTGAAAAAAATAGGGATTATTTTTTGCCATGTCTAGACAAAATTTGAAACCTACTTTTTATTATCTATCCCTTCAAGGATATTGCATCTTGGAAAAGCTCTAATGAAATTTTTCTTAATTATGCTTTACTTTCCCTACCCTTATGTCAGGTTGTATTAGTCCATAGATATCAGCATTTGCCACTAGAGCATTTAGGCAGTGACGACTCTGTCTAGACTGAAAGTGAGGAAAAGACAGACCTGCTGAATCCTTGTAAACAACCCACACAATTCTTGGAAGAAGCCAGTCCCAAAATGTCTGATGATGGAAAGAATCTACCCCATTTGGTGCTACCTGTGTCTGGTTTGCTCAGATAGTAATAGGAATGCTAAAGCTTGAATGTGCTTAAGAGTTTTCAGCCTTCAGAAGGCTAGAGTTGGGATGGTCGTTTAGCGTGAGTTTTACAGTATGACTAGTGGCAGTCTGGTCTTGCAAATGAGCTGACATCCCTGCTTATTGTAGATTGTGGATATGCTCAGAGTGCGAAAAAAATTCTGCTGGAGCCTGACTAGAGAGCTTGGAAAGGCCTTCATGAAGTAGGGAGCTGTCATAAATATTGGATTTTAATAGTTTATTCTTGATGACAATCCTGAATTTGATTTATGGCTTGTGAAACTCACTCAAGAACTTTGTGCAGTAAGTTAACCTGTTGATCACACAGAGCTGAGAGACCTACTGTTCATGGTCATTAGCAGAGAAAGGCTTCTGTGGTAGGTCAAGAATGGGACAACAGTTTAGGACAGATGTTGGTGTTCAACCTGTAAAATCAGATAATTTTATGTTGGAAGGATAGACAAGAAAGACTGTGGAGGTACAGCCATCACCTTGGTGGAAAAACAGGTAATTTTGGTAGGAAAGCCAGCTGTAAAGTAGAACGGTAGCAAAAAGAGAAACTTTATGAGAGCCCTGAAATCAGAGCAGCTGATTAGCCTTAATTTTTTTGTACGACTTCCATTCTTAGTTTCAGACAAAGTTGGCTTCATCCAGGCTATTCTTATGGTGTGTTTGTCCAATTTGCGTCAAAGAAATTAGTTTTGTGTTATTTCTAGTGTGTTTTTTGTAGATAGTCAGAGGATTGTGAAAATATCTAAGTTTATTTGGTTTTCCAAACTAAGCTACCAGATTTCTCCAGATTCCTTTTTCTTTTTCTTTTTTTTTTTTCTTAGATACTTATTTTTGGACAGTATTATATCATCATTATGGAACGTAATCTTATCTGTGAGGTACAGGCATTGCTTATATAGTATATGTAATGACTAATCAATTCAATATGTGCTTTGAACCAACTTTTAATTGGTAATACTTTTGTTCTAAATATATTGTTTTGATTTCACAGGTGCCTGCATAAGTATCACCAACAGTCAGTGCCAAATGCTGCCATATAACTACACCACTATAACTTCAGTTCTTTCCATTGTCAAAAGTATTGAAATGGAAAAGTTCCTGAAGTTCTTCAGTTATCTCGGTCGTCTCAGCTGCTATCAACACATCATGCTGTTTGGCTGTAGTCTTGCTCTTCCTGAATGCATCAGTGACGGTGATGACAGGTATTTGGGAATGAAAATCAGTCAGTGACTAGAGCCAAGTGTGGTAAAAAACTCTGTCTAATCAGACAAGGGGAGATCCAAACTAAGCCTATGACCTTCTCATTGCAAAACTCCTGTCTGTCAGACATGTCACAATATTTCTGCCATGGTAAGCCAACTGCAATAGAGTTCTCTTAGAAAAAATAATGCCACTGTATGGAATAAAACAGCAGTATTAGGGCAGTCAGGCCTATTTTCTTAAAAAAGGCTATCCAGAATCCTTGTACCTCATTGCTCCAATCTGTATGATTCAAAATGGAATGCTTTGTAACAACATTAGATATTTATAACATTGGCATAAAGTGTGGCAGCAGTTAATTAACTTCAAATTTTTTTTTAGTCTTTTCCTCAGAGAAGTTAATACTAAAAATATGTTCTATGACACTAGATTAGCAGAATATATTCAGAGTGACAAACTGTTTTGGAAGCTTAAGCATGTTTCTGTTTCTCCATTTATGTAATTACACAGCATTACTATCATATGCATGCACTTTTTTCATTAAGCTTGATTTGGGAAAAGGATCAGACAGTTTAACAGTGCTAAAGTCAAAAAATGGCACAAAAAGGAAAAAAGGGAAAATAGAGATGGTAGATTTCTTTCTCCTTATTTCCAATTTCTTCACTGTGAAATTCAGTGGAAGGGAATAAGGCAATTGAATAAGTGATTCAATTAATATAGCAAGAATCAAGATGCTGGAAGCTGTGCAGTTTAGAAGGGACATGATGCTTATGAAAAATGTTCTATGAGGTCTAAAATATAGTTGCCAATGAGAATGACGGTCCCACTCCAGGCAATATATGCCTGCCATTCCACTAGAGGGTAACGATGGAATGAGGCTGACCATTAGATGGGCTGAGCTGTTTAATCCAAATGCACCTGTGTGCCTATCTTTGTTAGACTACTGAAAACTATTTTCAGTTAACTCTGTTTAATTCATTGCATGATTAATTATAGCCCCTCTGCTCTAATTCAGTATTAAAATTGTTCCAGTTAAAGAATCTGGTAACATACAGCCTTAAGCTACCTGCTGTTTCTCAAAATTATAGAACAAAACAAGAAAAGTGGGTTCAGGTAATAAATTGATGCATTTTAATGTTCAGCAACAGAAGAGACCATTTCTTGTTTGCTTCACTTACTTGTTTGGAATTTGACTTCCACAAACTTTTTGAGAGCGAGTGGTGTGTGTCAAATGTGCAAAGCTCATAAATCAATCAAAGTTGTGAAAGGATAACATTTTTACCTTTCCTTTTGCATTTCTTTCCTGAAGAAATTTTCTTGCAGGGCTTACATTATGACAACTACTTTGCTAATTTAAAAAGGATAGAAGTTAAACTAATGTTTGGAACATACAGGTTTTGGTCTGGTTTTGAGTGGCAACCAAAATAATTTGAGATTCAGGAGTCAGAGGTTTATTTTTGTTGCCACCATCTCACCAACAGTAACCTTGTCCCATTAGTTTCTAATGCCAAAGCTGGAACTGAATTCCCATCCTGGTTTAATGTTCTGGAGGTCACAGTGACTCCCTTAGTTCTTACTTTACAATGTTGGTTTGTTTTTTGTTTTTTTTTTTTTGTGGAAACTGTTCTGGCCTCTTCAGGCCAATTGGGAAGAAAGTCGAAAGTGAGACTGTGAATGATGCAGGATTATGTTAGAATCTGATTTCACTTTGAGTAACCCTTTGTCTCTAGAGTGTGTCAAGGGGGATGCTGAAAATGTAGACTGAGTAGCAATCACTGGAAGGACCATAAGGGTGGATTGATGAAGTGCTGGTTTTTTAAATCGAGTTTGCTAAACCTGAGTCGTCCTGGTTTAACTTCTGCTTCTTTCTTTAAAGAGAACACATTTTCCTGTAGGAAACTGAGTGATTTTCATGATTACTGTTTTTCTTGTAGCATCCAATTATTGCAAGCAAAGAGATGCATTTCAAAGCTGAGAATAATGATTTTTCAGAAGTATCATATCTGCAAAAAGTAGTTGTTTAACACCTCCCTCCTCTTCCCTCCTTCCCCCTTCCCCAGATGAGTGAGATCTGGAGAAAACTGTTGGTATGAACGGCTCTTGGTTACTTTGTACAAGTTGAGTGCAGGTGTGAAAGTGGAAGAGACAGGCTGTTTTAGAGAGTAGGGGAATCTGAATCTGGGAGGTAGAAACATACTGAAGGAGAAGAAAAGCCACTGTGGAAACACCATGATGTTAATGCATGGGGGTATGACCATATGCTGTAGGCCTTTTTTGGGAGCTATGTTTGTTTTTAACATACAGTATTACAAAACGTACACCAGCATGGAGAACAGCTGTTACTGACATTGTCACTGGTTCCTCCAGACAGTTACAGATGTTTCATTCTAATTGCCACTGCATCTTTGATCATAATTTTTCATCTATTGATACTACCTTCTTTTAAGTATTGTCAAGGGCAACTGTGTTGACAGCTGCAGCCATAGGAGCAGTAATTACACATTACAAGAAGGAAAGTTACAAACGCAAATCCTTGGCGTCCAGTGTGTTGTTATTAAATAGCTTTGCTCTGATGTTTAAACTTGTGTCTGTTTCACATATATCTTTTATGTGTTTATAAACATTGTATTCATTAACACTTGAAAGAGATTACGTTTCCAAGCAGAGCATCTTCAGTGTTTGTGTAACACAAAGTGTAGTTAGGTACTGGGATTTCTGAAGGTTGCCACAATACTGTTGCTCTTAAAATTGTTATTCTGTATCTTACTGCAGTGGAAATCCTGTGTGACAGTAAAAATACATTAATATTAAAACTTATATTTCATTCCGGCAACTGGCCGTACACTCAGGCAGCCCTGCTCTTTTAAGAAATTATGCAACAGTACCTTTAAAATACAATTTTCAATAAATGAGAAGTTTGAAAATACAACTAAAACCTCTGTGAGAATGGAACGTGGAAAGTTAAAGTACAGTGAGACCTTTTGCTTGCTTATTACTTGCTCATAATTTGGATAGTAAGAGACATTTTTTTAAGGCATTATGAAGCTTCTTCATTCTTCGGTGAATGGGTGAGATCTTTCCAGTATGACTTCAAAATCAGATTTTAAAAACTTGTCTTAACACTTAATACTGTCACATTAATAGCTAGGGAAGCCAAGACTGAGTAAGATCATAGAATCATCTAATAGAATCATAGAATAGTCAGGGTTGGAAAAGACCTTGAGATCATGAAGTTCCAACCGCTCTGCCATGGGCAGGGACACCTCACACTAAACCATGTCACCCAAGGCTCTGTCCATCCTGGCCTCGAACACTGCCAGGGATGGAGCATTCACAGCTTCCCTGGGGAAACCATTCCAGTGCCTCACCACCCTAACAGGAAAGAACTTCTTCCTTATATCCAGTCTAAACTTCCCCTGTTTAAGTTTTAACCCGTTACCCCTTGTCCTGTCACTACAGTCCCTAACGGAAAGTCCCCCCCACCAGCTTCCTCATAGCCCCTGTTCAGATACTGGAAGGCTGCTATGAGGTCTCCACACAGCCTTCTCTTCTCCAAGCTGAACAGCCCCAACTTTCTCAGCCTGCTTTCATACAGGAGGTGCTCCAGTCCCCTGATCATCCTTGTGGCCCTTCTCTGGACTTGTTCCATGTCCTTTTTATGTTGAGGACACCAGAACTGCACACAATACTCCAGGTGAGGTCTCACAAGAGCAGAGTAGAGGGGCAGGATCACCTCCTTCAACCTGCTGGTCACACTCCTCTTGACACAGCCCAGGATACGGTTGGCTTTCTGGGCTGCAAGCGCACACTGAAGCTGGCTCATGTTCATTTTCTCATCGACCAACACCCTCAAGTCCTTCTCTGCAGGGCTACTCTGAATCTCTTCTTTGCCCAACCTGTAGCTGTGCCTGGGATTGCTCCGACCCAGGTGTAGGACCTTGCCACTTGTCATGGTTAAACTTCATGAAGTTGGCATCAGCCCACCTCACAAGCGTGTCAAGGTCCCTCTGGATGGCATTCCTTCCCTCCAGCATATCAACCAAACCACAGAGCTTGGTGTCATCGGCAAACTTGCTGAGGGCGCACTCAATCCCACTGTCCATGTCAGCAACGAAGATGTTAAACAAGACCAGTCCCAACACCGATCCCTGAGGGACACCACTCGTTACTGGTCTCCAGCTGGACATTGAGCCATTGACCACAACTCTTTGCATGCAACCATCCAGCCAGTTCTTTATCCACCGAGTGGTCCATCCATCAAATTGATGTCTCTCCAATTTAGAGACAAGGATGTTGTGTGGAACAGTGTCGAATGCTTTGCACAAGTCCAGGTAGATGACATCAGCTGCTCTACCCCTGTTCATCAGTTCTGTAGCCCCATCATAGAAGGCCACCAAATTGGTCAGGCAGGTTTTCCCCTTAGTGAAGCCATGCTGGCTGTCACCAAGCACCTTGTTGATTTTCATGTGCCTTAGCATGCCTTTCAGGAGAATCTGCTCCAAGATTTTGCCAGGCACAGAGGTGACACTGACTGGTCTGTAATTCCCCGGGTCATCCATTTTCCCCTTCTTGAAAATGGGGGTTATATTTCCCTTTTTCCAGTCATCAGGAACTTCACCTGACTGCCATGATTTCTCAAATATGATGGCCAGCGGCTTCACAACTTCATTCGCCAGCTCCTTCAGGACCCGTGGATGGATTTCATCAGGTCCCATGGACTTGTGTACATTCAGGTTCTTAAGATGGTCTCTAATCAGTTCCTCTCCTACAGTGGGCCCAAGGTCTTCATTTTCACAGTCCCTGCATCTGCCTTCCAAGTCTTGGGTGGTGTGGTCAGAGCCTGTGCCAGCAAAGACTGAGGCAAAGAAGTCATTGAGAACCTCAGCCTTCTCCAAATCCAGGGCAGCCACTTCTCCTGATAGCTTCCGGACGGGGCCTACATTGTCCCGAGAATGTACCTATAGAATTCCTTCCTGTTATCCTTCACATCCCTAGCCAAGTT